ACGTTTCCGCGTCTCGTCGGTAATCTCCGGAGGGTTGTAAAAAAGGAGGGCTCGATGGGGTGAACTTCCCGAGTGCTTCGCTGGGTGGCGAAAAAGATAACCCGGGCGCGCTGCGCCCGGCTCCCACTGGTTCTAGTGTGCAGGAACGATGCGTTCTTTTAGGGGGTGCATCGTTACAACTGTAAATCTGCTCTTAACATCGAAACATCGATCTCTTCGATTTCTTTAACGCTATTTTCATCTTCCAAAAATATATCATCATCCTTGTTCCATGTAATACTTACATTATCGGTTTCATCGCTTTTATCATTTGCTTTACATTCTTCTAATTGATCGTTTTCCAACAAGCGAATCAATTTAATTGTATTTGATCCATTATCTGTAGTTATTGAGTAGATTTGTTGAATCAAAATCCCATATTTCTCACAAATGTTTAGGACAAGTTTTCAATGTAACTGAGTCGTGGCTAACATATAATTCTTGAATATAATTCTGCCTATGTATAATTCTTGAATATAATTCTGCCTATGTATGTATTGTAGGATCAGGATTGTCGTTGGATATAAATTGTACATTTATACCTAAAAATGTGGAGTCCATACATGTAGCTGCATCTAATTTGAGGAATATTAATTTTCTGTTTATTTCACGTTGTATTTTATTACGAATTGATTCAGCTTTAGACATAACTAATTCTCCAATTTTGTGAATATTAATAGAACTTCTTTCTCTTGATTCAAGAGTTATTATTTCAATAATATTATGGAATGTAGAATAATTTATAAGTGAAAATGGTCTACCGTGGACAGTAACCAAATTAACACATTTCTTCAATAATTTATCTAACTTGCATCTTTTATTTTTATCTTTGTGATCACTTTTGTTCTTTCTCTAACAATTAAATTTTTCAAATTGAAGTTAAATTTATTGAAATGCATCCATCTTAAATAAAATTCCAGACTGTTTTTTATACCATGTTTTCCTTAAAATAATTGAAATAAGGACAATTTTTAATTTTAATTTTTGTTACATTTTTAAATAAATTTCGAAGTATATATTAAATACATTAGGAATATTAAATATATTAATTTATTTATATTTAATTTTAGGAAGTAATTTTTATTAAATTTTAGCTTATTTTAACTAATACTTTTATACGCTAAATAATGATTCGAATTGATTTGCTAATACTTTTATACGCTAAATAATGATACGAATTGATTTGCGTAAAAAAATATGATTTAATTTTAAAAATTTGAACTATGTAATTTTTATAATATATATACAAAAACTTACTTTTACAACATGTTCGCAATTATCTATGAGATACGTTATATTGCGTATAAATGAATATGTTATATATATTCCAATATTATAAGAATAATATTCATATACGGGATTTGTTGATATTTTTCCCATGTCAATATCGTGAAATTATATCAACTTTAATGTTTATATTTAAGAGATTAAATATGTATAAAATTATAATTTCTGTCGTCGACATAGTCGTTATGAGACATTGTTGATTATAAAGTAAGCTCTCTGTAGATAAAATATGGAGTGAGCTATCTACAGATGTAGAGCTTACTTCATAAATCAATAAAAGTACGACAAAAGTCGACAACGATAAAAATAATTATTTTATATTTAGTCTCTTAAATATAAACAGCAATATTAATACACGTAGTAATGACATGAGAAGAATATGAACAAATTATGTACATAAATATTATTCTTATAATGCAGAATGTAACATATCTTTCTTGTCCCATAAATAATTGCAAAAGTTGTAAAAGTAAGTGTTTGAACATACATAATAAAAATTACATAGTTAATTGAACTTTTTAAAATTAAATCATATTTCTTTTACGTAAATCAATTCAAATCATTATTTTGCGTATAAAAGTATTAGACTAACAAAGGAAGTTAGGGAAATCGAAAATTCAGAAAAATCTGAAACTTTGTGTAAAAGTAGAGCAGTTCATCGTAGTACGAAACTATTTTTGGTGCTCTAATTCCGTTTTAAAGGGATGAAATCCCTTGAAAAAAATCGGTTTTTTTCTTCCGACGTGAATATGTCGAAACTACGAGAGATAAAAAAAATGTTCTAGATCAAAGTTGAATGGTTTGAAGTATACTTTATGATAGTAATTAAAAAAAATTTTTTTTTAATATTTCCCTTATTAGTTCACTCTTTTTTTAAATTTTAAATTTTTTTATGACCAAATTAAAGATTATTTTAATACGAATACGTTATTTGAATACGCATTTGAAAATGAATAATAAAAATAGGAATAATTTACTGCGTGTATGCGTCTTTCTCTATTTCAGTCTTGAAATTAATTCATATTCAAATGCGTATTCAAATGTTTCACAAATATTATCTGATAAGATAAGAAACTTCCGTGATTATACGTACAGACTGTTCCAGCAATAAGTTGTTTACACTGATTTGACTTGACATTCTATGGCATTCAAATTTTGCTTTGTAAGCGTTGTCTAGCCGTGCGCAATAAAAACGATTCATAGTTATACATCCGCAGAATATTGCGAAAATAGATTTGCTTTCATCGTTATTCCTTGTTAAATGCAAAAATGCGATCAGAACGTGTTGCGTGAAAAATTACTGCGTGCGCGCAGCGTAAACGAGTACAAATGGTGTGCGTATAGAGACGTTTGTAATTATTTCTCGAAAATTATACTTTGGAAAATAACTTTATCACACATGGTTGAATTTGTATTAAAATAACCTTTAATTTGGTCATAACAGAAATTTAAAAATTTTTAAAAATATATAAAGTGATAGGGGAAACATTAAAAAAAATTTACAACAATTTTTTTTTATTACTATCATAAAGTACACTTCAAGCCCTGTCTCTTATACACATCTCTG